TTTTTTTTTTTTTTGTTTTTTTTTTGAGCAAATCCAATAACACTTTATTGAAACGAAAAAAAATTCATACAGGATCAGTAGTGTGATTTAACCGTTACATTTTTAAAAAAATAAACAAAAATACTAAACTACACAAGCTAGCCTAAAATTATAAATACTAAGAGGCCCGCTTTTCACAATAGTTTATTTTTTTATACTGTAATAAATGTATTAACGTTTTTTGTGATGATCAAAAACTAAAAAGTTTTTATATATATATATATTTGTTAGTAACGCGCATTTTTTTTTACTATTTTAATGAAATTTATAATAACATAAAAAAATAAAAAAAATACAATAGATATAACTATACGTTATTCTATTTACTAACCAATTTTTTAGCTATTTTTTTTTGCTTTTTTTCACGTTTTTTAATAAATTTTAACACAAAACATGTCGTCTCTAATAACCTGTCTAAGATGGAAGTGAGTGAAGTGAGTGTCAATACTTATTAGATCTAAAATAAATATCCAAAAAAGTTTTTATAATAAAATATCTCATTCAATATTTATTTTTTAATATCGATGAAATGATTGTCAGTAAACGTTTGTCGGCGAAATGAACCAGACCCCTATATAGAGAAGATCAACCAGAATTTAATCCTGATTACCTAATTAATGACCATTTTGGGAACAATCTATTTCCTCCCACTAAACCAAATTAATATATATATATATATATCATATAATGTAGCACTACATATAGTACCCTTGATATAAAAAAGACTATATTATAGCTAAATTTGATTTTTGCTTTATATTGTTTTTATTAGTAAACTATTTTTTATCAAAATCTTTATCAATGCCTACTCTCACAAAAATTTAACAATACGAAAAGTTAATAAATTTGTATATTTGTATTTGACAACAAAATATTTGTAAAAACGTTTGAAAATGTAAAATAAAATTGAATTTTTAGATTTTTTTAATTATAATTTTCAGAATTATCTGAAAAAGTTATAAAACCTGTTCTTTTTATGATGCATAATGATCCAACAGCTGACGCACGCTTCCTATTTTTTTTTCGAGACAGTTTTCAAGACTATCTTCGTTTTTTGATTTCTTGTAGTTTGTGTATTTGGTATATTAGGGATCCTGATGATATAAGTCCTAGTCCATTTGATCATCCTTATAACCCTCAAGATGATATTTATCTTATTCAGGCATCTAGGACAAAAGAATTTGATCTAAAGATAGACGTGAAGATAGAATGATAAACCCATTTTCAGTATATAAAGAACAAATAAAATTCAACAATAACGACTAAATATTAGTATACAAAGAGACTTTTTTAAAAAAAATCTCGCTCTATATAACAAATAATTATTATTTTAAATTGATGAACGGCATAGCTACAGTATATATGCCCTTATAGAAATTGTATCGATCACATGCGGATCAGTTACTACTAATTGACACGAATATGATCGGGAACAAGAGATCTACTGTATTATCTCTTCAAGGGCTAGAATTACGTAATGCCGCCTGGAATTATCCAAAAAAGAAGGATCTACACATCATTCTTGTTATATTGCTCATCGTTCTGAAAATTAATTAAATTTATCCGGCTGACACCAATAGTTTTACAAATATTTTTCTTTTACTCTCACTATGTCTTGTTCAAAATATTTTCGGGGGAATTACCAGAATTAACATATGATATTTTAAAATATTTTAAGAATGATTTTTCATTACGATCCCTATCATCAATTTATTTTTATTTAATTTAAGCATTACACAACTATACTAAATTTATAGTATTAAATTTACTACGCACTTGATCAAGTGAAACATTATCATATACACGTAATATTCAAGCATCACACGATCAATATAATCATGAGTCATCTTTTTGTGGGTTTTAAACTCCAATTAATAATTTTATTGACATTTAAAATTAAATAGGCTGTTTGAAATTATTATATATATATATATATTATATGATCAATTCAATAATCATTTATATTATATATTTGTATTTGTTTAAAGATTTGTCATAAATAAAAATTTCAATAACCATTCTAAAAAATTATTTTATTATTATTTTGAGGTGAAAAATTTGTTAATAAATTAAACTTATTTCTCACAAATCCCACCAAACAAATTTCAAAAAGAAGAATTTCAATGTGGTTTAGCAAATATTATTACTAGGACCCCATGTCAGGGGAGATCGGCACACATTTACTATTAGCTCCACGCATTTCTCCAGGGCCGGCACTATGTAATGTTGGTCAGCATTATCCACAAACGATCTACATGATTTTGGCTCATTCTAAGCAGACCTGATCTTTTTATGTATAGCTCGGGGTCCAATTATTACACCTGACCCTAAAATTCTAAAATCATACATGCGGCGTGACAGACGGACATTAGTCCTTCGCTACGTTATTAATCAATATCACAAGTTACTATTATAATACAAATTACTATTATTAATTATTATTAATTAATTTTTGTATTTTTGAGGTGATGAAGCATGTGTGAGATATGATGCAATAATTAATAATAGTCTATTAATTTTTAATGTCTTTTATAATTTAAATTTACAAAGACTGTATAATTTTCACTTTTACTTTAATGATTTAATTTTAATTTACCGATTTATAATTAGTTAGAACTGTGTAGATAAATAAATCACATACAGTATGTCTCAAAATAATCAGATGGCTGATAGTATAATGATACCATTATATAACGTTACATAATTTAAATTAATATATTTATAGGTTAGAAATTCAATAATTTTATTATGTTCTTCCCAAAAGACAATGTTGATACCAAACAAGAATAACAATAACACAATGGAGAAAGAACAACCTCAAGAAGCATCAACTATTCTAGCGAGTTCGACGGTTCCGCTTCCACCGAAAGAAAAAGTCGAAGAGTTCAATAAATTGAACGAAGTGTTCAGTGATAAGGCAAAAGAAATCAATGTTAAAGCAGAAGGACTACAGGTAAAGGTAATAAATCTAAAAAAACCACGATGACAAGCGCATATTTATATGGAAGTAATAGACGTATCGCACCACGCAAAATGACAAAGACAAGTTTAGGGACGACAACTATAAAGGATTCAAAAAAACGTATTGCATTAGTTCAGGGTGAAAGAGATGATGATAGTGAAAAAGATAGTATTATAGAGTAGTAACAATAAATAGCTGTTACAAATAGTTAGTTTAGTTCAATCATTAGATAGACCCTTTAGATACCATTAGCTTACAGAAGCTAATCCTTCTTTATGGAAGAGGATAGTAATAGTTTAACTAAACTACTATGTTAGTTAGTTAAATCCAATGTATTTTTACTATTGTATAGGTTTTATTTACTCAATAAAAAAAAATACTTTACTATTAAAAAAAAAATAAAAGAAATTTTATTCTGTTCTTCCAATAAATGGCCAATATTTGTTATTGCAGTAATACTACAAGTAATTCGTAGGGTTTAATTTTTTGGTAAAGAACCAGCCGGCCAGAAATACATTTACATATTTATAAAGTATTGATTAAAATATAATAGAAATTGAACATTAATTTTTTGTCTAAACCACCTAAACCAAATTAATTTGCAATTATATTAAAAAAAAATAAATATTCCATCATTCTTAATATAAATTCATTCTTAATATTTTAGATATCCTAGTCCTAATGATTTAGAAAAGTTAATATCAGTATGAATAACCAAATCACTATATTCTTGAATTATAATGTTATCAAAGGGGTGTGGTCAACTGGGTCATCAGGCCAAGCATGTGAAACTGTAACGTAATGTTACGTATCATATCGTATATGTTTACGGTACATATTACTCCTTGACTATGGCAAGCCGAGTTGGATTAAACTATCAGGCATTGGGCGGGTGAAAAATCAAGCATGGATTGACAAAATTACACCGTGCCTGTTTCTTTGTCAGCACAGGGTTGATATTTTGACAATCACATGTTTTTAAGTTTAGCGTAGTTTTAAAAGGGAACATTTCTGAGTTTTTTTTTGATGGATAATTTCGTTAAAAACTTTTATTTGATAGGAATTTCATTGGAGAATTTTTTTTTTAATAAGATTTTTTTTTTCTTAATTTGTTGGAACAATTTTTTTAACAGGAGGAGATTTTTTTTTTTTTTTTTTTTTTTTGACATATACTTAATTTGTTGGAACAATTTTAATAGGGAAGATTTTTTTTTGATAGATAATTTCGTTAGAAAATTTTTTTAACATGTGAGATTTTTTTTGATAGAGAATTTCGTTAAGAATTTTTTTTAATAGGAGGGAGTTTTCCTTGATAAAGAATTTCTTTTAGGAATTTTTTGATAGTTGAAAGTATTTTTTGACGGAGAATTTTATTAGAGAATTTTTTTTTTAATAGGGAGATTTTTTTTGATAGAGAATTTCATTAAAGAATTTTTCTTTAATAGATTTCGCCGAGAATTTTGTTTTTTTTTTGATTTTATTAAATTTTACAATTTTAATAAATTTTTACTCCTCTTCATTTTCCCATCACTTCTTTTCATCTCCCATCGCTCATTTTCGTCTCCAATTACTCCTTTCGTCTCCCATCAATCACTTTTTTCGTCTCCCATCATTCCCTTTCATCTCCCATCGCTCCTTTTCGTCTCCAATCACTCCTTTTCATCTCCCATCACTCCTTTTCGTCTTCCATCACTCCTCTTCATCTTCCCATCACTTCTTTTCGACTCCCATCACTCCTCTTCGTCTCCATCACTCTTTTTTATCTCTCATCACTCCTCTTCGTCTCCCATCACTTCTTTTCGTCTCCCATCACTCCTCTTCATCTTTCCATCACTCCTTTCATCTCACATTACTCCTCTTCATCTACCATCATACCATATTTCTCCTTTTTGTTTCCTATCACACTTCTCTTCATCTTCTCATCACTTCTTTCATCTCCCATCACTCCTCTTCATCTACCATCATACCATATTTCTCCTTTTTATTTCCTATCACTTCTCACTACTCTTTTTTACTCCTTTTCATCTTCTATTACGTTCCATTACTCCATTATTATTTCATTTTTTATTAGAATCTTTCTTCTTGATCATTGTAATTTACTTATCTTTTTGTTTATTACTATTGTTTCTTTTATTTGTATCACTTCATTAAAAATACAGCGATTTTTTTCTTTAAAATCGTAAATGTGTGACTTAAATTTTAATATTTGCAAATAAAATTTCATTATATAAGATTATTTGAATAAATATATTTGCAAAAAATTTTTTTTTTAAAATTTGATTAAATATCAACATGGTTCAACATTATAACAAAGTTTCCGGGAAGTTCTTTAATAACGTTTAAATTTATAAAATATTGGACTGATTTTATTTCTATCAAATTGTTAACATATAATAGCTCATATAGTAATATATATAGGTCGCACAAATTTATATTCTAATCACAAACTTTAATCTATTAAAATCTGTTTCATTATGGCAGACGACTTCCTGAAAAGTATCATTGTAATAGTGAATTGAATATCATGACTACGTAAAAATCTAACTGGACCTTTATATAAACCATTTAAATTATTAACGTAAGATTAATAGTATCATTTGATTTTAAATAACCTTTTTAAATAACCTTGATGATTTCCAGATTTAATTAAATATACAATAGTTATCTTTATTATTGTTATTAACATCTATTATTGAACGCCCTTAAATAAATACAAATTTGAATTTAATTGACTAAGACGTATTAAAGTACCCATGCTACATACACATTTTAATCAAGAACATAGTCTAAAATTTGACTATATAAATATATGAGACTTCATATAAAATCATGGGATTCAATAGTGATTTAATGTTATAAATATTTGTGTAAAATTAAATAGTTAAAAAATTTTTTATCATAATTTTCTAAATAATAATTTAATTTAGATTTTAAACGATCATAAAAAAAAAAAAAAAAAAAGAACATGGAGTCATACTTAACGCGTTAATCAGTTATCAGATGTGAAACGTCAGAGAAAAAATCTTATATTAGTTTGTGAAATATGAAAACTATTACATAATTTAATTATGGCAAAAAAATTTATTATTAAAGTTATTTCTTTTAAACAAAATCATATTTTTTAAACAAAAATAAATCCTGAACATCATGCTATTATCATGTAGACACCTTGACGTGTAGAAATATATATTGTGGGTGATAATTTTAACACTTTAAAGGGGAATTTGTCAATAAGAAGTCTTGTTTAACGATGAAAAGTACTGGCGTCAGTGGTATTGATATCCTTTTTAAATATTCACTGTTGTAGAGTTCGTAATCTAATGGGCTAACCGACTTTGCGTCTTACCGCAGTGATTGTCCGATGTATTAATATTACACAAATTCGTCATGTATCACACCGTAATTAAATATTGATATTAGTATATATGTGGCAAAGCAAATAAATTACATCATGATGATTCATGGCGGCCGTTCTTATATATATAGGCACTTTAGAGTGTTGTGTTAAAAAAAAAAAAAGAAATCGTGTGGTTTTAGAAAGAATCTTACGAAACTTTATTACCCTAAAAAAAATTCCAAACACTATGTCTATGAAAGCGAGATATGTGACAGCAAAAGAAATCAAAGAATATAAACCAGAAGAGCTTATCAAATTCTTAAAAAAGAACTTAAATTTTGATGGAGTGGACTTGGAAAATTTGGAAATAATTCGCGAGCAAGAGGTTAGCGGTCGTAGCTTCCTCAACTTGACCCATGAAAGTTATGGAAGATGGGGAATGCCTAGTGGTCTAGCATGTAGTATTGCAAATTTTGCTAAGAAGTGCAAAAAGAAAAAGTTGGACCCGAGAAAGTTGTTAACGAAGCATGGAGTTGAAAATGGTCGAATAATAGACATGCCGCAATTTACACCAAGTAAATATTTTTTTTTTTTTTGTTTTTGTCCTTGATTCCATGTATAATTAACTTACAATATTGCATCATTCATATAAAGAAATTCACAAAATTGATGACAAGGATGATTATTTTTTACATTGTCTTAAAGATATACATCTCAGGTTGAATAATATGGGGACAATTGATGAAAGTAATGAAACAATTTGTTGTGAATACATTTCGACAATCCTCCATGCATGTATTCATATTACCAGAAAACTCACCGGAAAAAATATATCTATATACCCGCAATTTGATGGTAAAAATGCGGGTCGTGTAAATTATGTAATCAATGCATCCGAGAAGTTAATTTGTGTCACGGGAGGTAAACAACATCAAATTGATATTGAGTTTGCTCAGGTTAGTATGGAGCATTTCGCACCAGTGATATATATTTCGGTTTAAGTCACATTTCGCTAACTTTCGTCTACAGAATGTTACACAATGCAATAGTGCATACAAGACTAATCAGAAAAAACGAAAAGCGGAAGAAAAACATGACTATATATTCGGGATTGTAACTACGACTACGGCATGGTATTTTCTCCTTTATACTCCAGACGGAATTTCTTGCACGAGTAGAAATCCACTCAATATCCGGTTTGTCGAGTCTGCTTTGGAAGAAGGTTCGGAAGAAGAAAAGGATTTGCATAAAAATGTGAAGCGGGTAATGGAAGTTATAGTTGGTTTGTTAAAGGATAGGGTGGAAGATGAAAAGAAACCGGTGATGAAAAAGCAACGGGTTCAAGGTTATTTCAAGAAAGAGGAAGAGTAATTATGATCATGGGCTACATTCCAACTTTTTTCATGCCATGTGAATCTAATAATAGGATTTTTTTTTATTATAAATAATATATAGTATATATATATATTATGCCACATTTAATAAATTTATAAATAGGCTTTTATTTTATCGCCTTTTTCAAATTAGTGCGACTATGCGATTTTTGGGTTGTATCATCATGTGAGAATCGATTTTCAAAAGATTTTCAATTTCACGTGACAATCAACAAATAATTAGTTAATGATTACAAGATTACACAAGAATAAAAAATTTATAGTTAATTTCGCGTTTAGAATTTTTTTGTCGCGTAAAAAAATAGTTGAAAATGTATAAAATTGGGACTTGTTTTGGATGTCAAAAGTGTCTCTATTGTGGGGTAAATTTGAAAATAGAAATATGTGATTGTAATAAAACAGCTAAGCCATCCAGAAAAANAGGTGGTAAGAATCTTTGAATTTTTTTAATAGGGAAAATGTGTTTTTTGATGGAAGATTTTCGTTAGAAATTTTTCTTTAATCGGGGATATTTTTTTTGATTGAGAATTTCATTAGAGAATTGTTTATTAAAAAATTATTTTATTTTTTTGATGGAGAATTTTGTTTAGAAACCTTAATAGAAAATTTTATTGAAAATTGTTTAATAAGTGTATCGAGAATTTGGCTTGAATTTTTTTTTTTAATAAAGAATTTCATTAGAGATCTTTTTTTTTTTATAAAAAATTGATTGAAAATTTATTGGAAAATTTTTATTAAATTTTACAATTTTAATAAATTTTTACTCCTCTTCATTTTCCCATCACTTCTTTTCATCTCCCATCGCTCATTTTCGTCTCCAATTACTCCTTTCGTCTCCCATCAATCACTTTTTTCGTCTCCCATCATTCCCTTTCATCTCCCATCGCTCCTTTTCGTCTCCAATCACTCCTTTTCATCTCCCATCACTCCTTTTCGTCTTCCATCACTCCTCTTCATCTTCCCATCACTTCTTTTCGACTCCCATCACTCCTCTTCGTCTCCATCACTCTTTTTTATCTCTCATCACTCCTCTTCGTCTCCCATCACTTCTTTTCGTCTCCCATCACTCCTCTTCATCTTTCCATCACTCCTTTCATCTCACATTACTCCTCTTCATCTACCATCATACCATATTTCTCCTTTTTGTTTCCTATCACACTTCTCTTCATCTTCTCATCACTTCTTTCATCTCCCATCACTCCTCTTCATCTACCATCATACCATATTTCTCCTTTTTATTTCCTATCACTTCTCACTACTCTTTTTTACTCCTTTTCATCTTCTATTACGTTCCATTACTCCATTATTATTTCATTTTTTATTAGAATCTTTCTTCTTGATCATTGTAATTTACTTATCTTTTTGTTTATTACTATTGTTTCTTTTATTTGTATCACTTCATTAAAAATACAGCGATTTTTTTCTTTAAAATCGTAAATGTGTGACTTAAATTTTAATATTTGCAAATAAAATTTCATTATATAAGATTATTTGAATAAATATATTTGCAAAAAATTTTTTTTTTAAAATTTGATTAAATATCAACATGGTTCAACATTATAACAAAGTTTCCGGGAAGTTCTTTAATAACGTTTAAATTTATAAAATATTGGACTGATTTTATTTCTATCAAATTGTTAACATATAATAGCTCATATAGTAATATATATAGGTCGCACAAATTTATATTCTAATCACAAACTTTAATCTATTAAAATCTGTTTCATTATGGCAGACGACTTCCTGAAAAGTATCATTGTAATAGTGAATTGAATATCATGACTACGTAAAAATCTAACTGGACCTTTATATAAACCATTTAAATTATTAACGTAAGATTAATAGTATCATTTGATTTTAAATAACCTTTTTAAATAACCTTGATGATTTCCAGATTTAATTAAATATACAATAGTTATCTTTATTATTGTTATTAACATCTATTATTGAACGCCCTTAAATAAATACAAATTTGAATTTAATTGACTAAGACGTATTAAAGTACCCATGCTACATACACATTTTAATCAAGAACATAGTCTAAAATTTGACTATATAAATATATGAGACTTCATATAAAATCATGGGATTCAATAGTGATTTAATGTTATAAATATTTGTGTAAAATTAAATAGTTAAAAAATTTTTTATCATAATTTTCTAAATAATAATTTAATTTAGATTTTAAACGATCATAAAAAAAAAAAAAAAAAAAGAACATGGAGTCATACTTAACGCGTTAATCAGTTATCAGATGTGAAACGTCAGAGAAAAAATCTTATATTAGTTTGTGAAATATGAAAACTATTACATAATTTAATTATGGCAAAAAAATTTATTATTAAAGTTATTTCTTTTAAACAAAATCATATTTTTTAAACAAAAATAAATCCTGAACATCATGCTATTATCATGTAGACACCTTGACGTGTAGAAATATATATTGTGGGTGATAATTTTAACACTTTAAAGGGGAATTTGTCAATAAGAAGTCTTGTTTAACGATGAAAAGTACTGGCGTCAGTGGTATTGATATCCTTTTTAAATATTCACTGTTGTAGAGTTCGTAATCTAATGGGCTAACCGACTTTGCGTCTTACCGCAGTGATTGTCCGATGTATTAATATTACACAAATTCGTCATGTATCACACCGTAATTAAATATTGATATTAGTATATATGTGGCAAAGCAAATAAATTACATCATGATGATTCATGGCGGCCGTTCTTATATATATAGGCACTTTAGAGTGTTGTGTTAAAAAAAAAAAAAGAAATCGTGTGGTTTTAGAAAGAATCTTACGAAACTTTATTACCCTAAAAAAAATTCCAAACACTATGTCTATGAAAGCGAGATATGTGACAGCAAAAGAAATCAAAGAATATAAACCAGAAGAGCTTATCAAATTCTTAAAAAAGAACTTAAATTTTGATGGAGTGGACTTGGAAAATTTGGAAATAATTCGCGAGCAAGAGGTTAGCGGTCGTAGCTTCCTCAACTTGACCCATGAAAGTTATGGAAGATGGGGAATGCCTAGTGGTCTAGCATGTAGTATTGCAAATTTTGCTAAGAAGTGCAAAAAGAAAAAGTTGGACCCGAGAAAGTTGTTAACGAAGCATGGAGTTGAAAATGGTCGAATAATAGACATGCCGCAATTTACACCAAGTAAATATTTTTTTTTTTTTTGTTTTTGTCCTTGATTCCATGTATAATTAACTTACAATATTGCATCATTCATATAAAGAAATTCACAAAATTGATGACAAGGATGATTATTTTTTACATTGTCTTAAAGATATACATCTCAGGTTGAATAATATGGGGACAATTGATGAAAGTAATGAAACAATTTGTTGTGAATACATTTCGACAATCCTCCATGCATGTATTCATATTACCAGAAAACTCACCGGAAAAAATATATCTATATACCCGCAATTTGATGGTAAAAATGCGGGTCGTGTAAATTATGTAATCAATGCATCCGAGAAGTTAATTTGTGTCACGGGAGGTAAACAACATCAAATTGATATTGAGTTTGCTCAGGTTAGTATGGAGCATTTCGCACCAGTGATATATATTTCGGTTTAAGTCACATTTCGCTAACTTTCGTCTACAGAATGTTACACAATGCAATAGTGCTTACAAGACTAATCAGAAAAAACGAAAAGCGGAAGAAAAACATGACTATATATTCGGGATTGTAACTACGACTACGGCATGGTATTTTCTCCTTTATACTCCAGACGGAATTTCTTGCACGAGTAGAAATCCACTCAATATCCGGTTTGTCGAGTCTGCTTTGGAAGAAGGTTCGGAAGAAGAAAAGGATTTGCATAAAAATGTGAAGCGGGTAATGGAAGTTATAGTTGGTTTGTTAAAGGATAGGGTGGAAGATGAAAAGAAACCGGTGATGAAAAAGCAACGGGTTCAAGGTTATTTCAAGAAAGAGGAAGAGTAATTATGATCATGGGCTACATTCCAACTTTTTTCATGCCATGTGAATCTAATAATAGGATTTTTTTTTATTATAAATAATATATAGTATATATATATATTATGCCACATTTAATAAATTTATAAATAGGCTTTTATTTTATCGCCTTTTTCAAATTAGTGCGACTATGCGATTTTTGGGTTGTATCATCATGTGAGAATCGATTTTCAAAAGATTTTCAATTTCACGTGACAATCAACAAATAATTAGCCAATGATTACAAGATTACACAAGAATAAAAAATTTATAGTTAATTTCGCGTTTAGAATTTTTTTGTCGCGTAAAAAAATAGTTGAAAATGTATAAAATTGGGACTTGTTTTGGATGTCAAAAGTGTCTCTATTGTGGGGTAAATTTGAAAATAGAAATATGTGATTGTAATAAAACAGCTAAGCCATCCAGAAAAAACAGAACAAATCTCGTTAAAAACGCATTTACAAGAGTCTTTAACCCTATTTCTAATCCTAAACAAATAGATTTTATAAAAAATAAAAATGATAGCTTTGCTTATGGATTTGATTTAGCAAAAGGCTTTCAATTTTCATTCTGTTCAAAATGTAATAGTTCTTACCAACGTTTATCTAATAAAAAATCTAAATCTAATAACTCTTCACAAAGAGTTCGTACATCAGAAAATGTGATACAATTAGAAGAAAACATTGAAATAATTAATGTTGAATCTACTACTGAAATTTCACAAGAAAGTACTACGTCAGATGGGTCAACATTTTACAATAAATCCAAACGTAGCAATTCAGAAACTGAAAATAAAGATAGTACTGAATTGGAAATAGAAGTTAATTACAAACTATCTATAAAAAAGGCAGACGGTACTTATCTTCCAGCTAAAAACTATTCAGTTATAATCTCTGAATTAGATGAGTTTTTACTTTCAATTCAAAATAATATCACAGCTCTTCTCAAAGATGAAAAAATTGATGCTAATGACTATAATGTTTCTTTTAAGTCAGAAAAGACAAAAGGAGCTGGTACTTTATTAGTAGATGTACGTGATTTCGAAAATTTCAAATCAGAATATAATAAACTTGTTGCCACAAAAAAAGTTATGCTTATTTCTATTACTATGAATAAAAAAGAAAAACAAGTTGATGTTAAGCGAAAAAAAAAGAAAATTTTAAAATAATAATAAATTTTTTATTCTTAAAAAAATTAATTCTATATTTTTAATTAGGAAACTAATTCAGATGATGATGTAGATCATGACG